TAATAAAAGGAAAGTAAATTAGCGAACAAAAGTTTTTCCTACCTCTTCTTGATAATTTCATATTTTAATTCTAAAAACAAAATATTTCAATTGAGATAACATTTGACATTCGATTAAATGTTTTTCATTATGTACTCCTTGTTATACTAAATTGATTTGTGAATCAAAGTTCTAATCACAAATGACAAGAAATAAACTCAAATAAGACGATCTGAAAAAAGTAGCAGATATATGAACTTACTTATTTGATTATTTCATAATGTGTTGAACCAAAGTTAGATATAGACAACGGCATATAAATCTATAAAAAAAAAGATAAATAAACTTAGACATCGAATGAAACTTACCATTCTATTAACTAAAGCTAAAAAAATATAGTACTAAGTAGATACATAAATCAAGATAATTAAGTGATTTTAGACAAAGCATAATGATCAAAAGCAATTAAGCTGACCGTTGTTCAACTTCTGACTAGCCACTTTTGTCTAACAAAAATATAACGAAAGAGGGTACTAGTCTATTTTTATTAATATATATGTATTCTATAAACAGCAAAGAATTTTCATTTGTTTTCACTACTTGAACAAAGATGTTTACATTGTTTCCTTGGTCGTTAATATTATTACTAGCTATTTCGTTGTAGCTGCTTTGAGAATCAGTTTAGAAATGTTACATTTCACGTTATCTTACAGTTAGTACTAATAATCAAGCCCTTACCGTAGTTAATCCAACGAATATTTAGAAAAGTATAATTTAAAAATATCTTTCCTACACATATTTCACTACATCAAAATTCATTCTGTGTCGGTAGCGACTGATTCCATGTTCAATTGAGATGATGAACAAGACGTACCGGTGTCCATTAGATCCAGGTGTTTAAAAATAAGACGCATCACCTATCTAACATGTGTCTATACTAGACTATAGGCACATGCACCGTCTGATAAGACGCGTGGCATTTTTTTTGACAGTGTAAAACAAAGAAGCGTCGCCATTTTTGTCATATTGGTCAGAACTAATCAGTCAATATAAAATGAGACTAGAACGATAGATGGTGGAACATTTTAATCTTGCAAAGGCTGCACACTTATCAGCTATAGCATACTAGGAATATTCTTAAATCAGTTTTCAGGTCAGAAATTACTCAACATTGCTGTTTTCTTTTGTTGAGTCAAAAAATATTAAGTTAAATAAATCGCCGATTTAATCGCAATGTATCGCCAATATTAAAAAAACGCCGATTAATCGTTCAAACTTAGGCGATTTTGACGACATGGGATTACTTCTGTCTTCGTTTGCCTACTCACACATATTACGAGGATCTCAGAAGTTCTGAAATCATTTTAAAGCTCATCATTTTTACATAGAACAAGAGCATACTTTTCGAAAATTTGATAAATTATTCTATCTACTTAGTACTAAAATAAGTTTGAAGTTTAATACTAGCCCCCTCTACTATGACAAAGAAACGATAACAACATTATCATGTTTTATTTTATCGTTTATTATATAGCTATATCATGATGAAAATGTATTACAATCAATCACTCAATGGAATAAATAAAAAAAATTGAATTAAATATGAAAGGATGTAAAATAAAATAAATGTATGAGATTTCGATGTTTTTTCCTTGTAGCATCATCAGATAAGTATCGAACAATTAAATACAATGATGATAAATAATTTAACTATTTCTTCATTCATATAAAATCAATGAAGGTAAAACAAAAAAAAAGAAATTTTTCTTTTTTATTATTCATATGTAAGTTTATATTTAAAGAAAAAAAGCAAAAATGACGAAAGAAGTATGTCGAACCATATAGACATAGCTAAAAGAGAACATAAAAGGAAAAAAAGAGAAATATATGAATTATAGAGACTCAGTTTGCACTTAATGCTATTCAACAAAAAAATATTCATAAATCAGAACGACAACAGTATTTTATGATAAAAATACGCTCTTCCTTATGCAATCTTTATCAGAGTATCACCTAGCTACACTCGAAAAAATAGACCTATCGCCATCATTCTGATTCATTTCTTGTGTATCATTATGCGATATTTATTCATGATAGATTTTTATCAGTTAATGAAAACGAAAGATCTATTGATGTTCTTCAATAAATCTGGGTCGATGAAATTCGATCGAGCAGTGTTTTTGATCTTCATTGGAAGAAGTCAGTATAGTTCTCATTTGTTAGGTTTTTTCTGACTTCAACATTTACCAAAGGAGAAAAAGAGATCTTTTACTCAATTGATTTGTTCAGCAATAAAGATCCTCAACTTCGTTCTTTGACTAAAAATATTTGACAGGAGTAAGACAAATCATAAGACCGGAACCAGTTCCATATTCATTACTTGAACAAAGTCGCATTGAGACTATCCTATAAATCTACAAAGTACTTTTTTGATCAATCATTAGAAAATCGTGAGTAACAGTTTTTATTGTTCATTTGAATACATCACACTTAGCCAATGCTGATCTACAACTGCTAATTCATTATATATCAAAGCACTTAAAATCTATCGTAAGAACTTCTTCCTTTGAGTCATCCTAATATAATGTTTTTGCAAAGCAAGATGAAGTTAATTTGTGCTTTCGCTCTTCTGGTCATTCTGTCGACGGAAATAATACCGTTAGATTAGACAATTAATATCTTTATTCTACACATATTTTGTCAAGAACTTGTTTCTTAAATGATGAATTATTGTTACAGTTATATAACCAAATGATTATTGATTGATGTAGTTTTGTTATACATTATTAAAGAGATATTATTCAAAAGGAGTGTGAGTTAAAACATAGAACACAAATAAATTTACAAAAAGTAGACAAATACACAAATATTAAAAATATATCAGTACTACAGAACTAAATGAAGAGGACAAATAATACAAAGAAAAACAAAATTGTTTTTCTCGTATTAGATAAATACAAATCAAAGAATGATATAACTATGATATGCACATATTCATTGTGAGTTTTACATTTTCTTTGTGGTTTAAAACAAAAAGAAACTGCTGCTGAAGTATAATTGTAGGTTTAGAAAAGATTTCAACAAATGCAAAATTAATATTTATAATACTAATCAAATAGAATTTATTTAATATGATCGATGATTTCTTCTTGCATATTCAATGGATCACAATAAAACACTAATTACACTTAATTAGACAAATAATGATATTTATGTATCAAAATTAAAACAATAAAGTTATGCTTGATGTATCTTCTATCACCGAAATGGAAATGTTAAGCAATATATATTAATGGTTAGCATATGTTTATTAAAGAATAGATATCAAAGAGCAATATGAAAAGCAAGATTAAGTTGACTCTATTATATATAATACGAACTATAGAATATTTTTAACTGATTAGTCGCTTTTGAGTCGAGACTCTGTACATCATATAGACTCAAATGACTTATGAATACCGTGAAAAGAGTTTGTACCATTAGGTTATTGCTGCACTTTTACGGCATTTTTTTTGAATGAATTCCGTAATCCCCTTGAGAAAATTGATTTTTGAATTTTGACTTATAATAACTCATTTGACTCTACATAACGTACGTAGTCTCCACTCAAAAGCAATTTATCAGTTAGAGAACTTTTCTTTTCAGATTACACAGTATATCAAACTGTCAATAATATTTTCAGGTTCAAAAAACTGAGTTATAAGCAATCATAAAATTTCAACGAAAGTTGTATATTCTATCAACTGTTTAAAATATGTGCATGTTATGAATATATATTTACATGGAAGAAGTGATTGAATACATGAAAAATAAATCTACAATAGAGACATTGTATGCTAAAGAACTTCTAAATCAACATGTCGTAAATAGGGATGTTTTTTCTAAAACAAAAAAGACAATCAATCAAAACAAAAAAACCGGATAATCAATAACGGAATTTTACTCGAAGATTTCGTTCGATACGATCAATTTCTGCTCCAACTCTATCGACAACATTTTCTCCATGTTTAAGAAGAAACATTTCAACTGATTCAGCTGTATCAATTTTTTGAATTTCCTTAATAAAACAAAAAAAATCATAAATTCAAATAAAATAGAATAAAATCTACTATTTCAAACTTTAAGAAGAAGTTCAATATCAATTCTTTCTAAATACGATCGAGCTATTTCTCTTCCATCAATATCAACTTCAGCTTTAAACATAACTGATTGTGAACCCATATCAGTTGCTTTAATATCATACAATGCACTAAAATTACATTAAATTAAATGAAATCTATTAATTTAACATATAATAAGTATTTACCGAACCATTCGATCATTTTCTAAATCATTATTAATTGCTTCAATCTGATTCGGATGAATAGATCTTTCATAATAAATAATGAAAAATATTTTGTTTTATTATTGATTAAAAATTATTTCAATTTACCGTCCAACAAGTGCAGCTGTATTTGAATAAATAATAAAAGAAGCAACACCACCTAAAATACAACCAATAATAAGTGATCCAATGGCATCTGGAATAGGTGAATGAAGATAAAGTGAAAGACCCATAGCCGTAGCAGCTACACATACACCTAAAACAGCTGCTAAATCTTCTAATAGGACAACATTCACATTTGGTTTATATCCTTGACTAACTATCAAAGAGAAAAAAAATATAATAATAATAAATCTTAATAAAATAATAAACTAATTTCAATACCATATTCCCAAAATTTCATGCCAGTTTCTTTAGCTGATGCTCGAATTTCATTAGCAGCCATATAAAGTGTTGCTGTAAATAACAATAGTAACAAGAAATCAAAATAAAAGAAAAAAATAATGGAAATCAAACCTCCTTCAGATATTAATGAACCACTTAAAAGTGTTATACCCTAGAAAAAAAAACATAAAATTCAATGGTTTTTTTTTTTAATCTTTCTTTACCCAAACGACAGATTCCATTTCTTGAGGATATAATAATACTAATATACCATGATACCAAGCTAGACCTGTGCCAAAACAGAATATTCCTACACCACTAATAAGTGAAGATATATATGTCATATTTGAATAACCATAACTAAATATGGAATTTTATTGAATTATTAATTATGTAAAGTTCGTTCGTATTTACGGATGTTCAGGGTTAGGTTTTTTGATTGATTGCCATAAACCAAATGATAATATAAGTTGATTACATGTATCAGCAATGGAATGTACTGCTTCAGAAAATAATGAAGCCGAACCTGTAAATAACCAACCAATAGTTTTAACAACGGCATTTGTTGCATTACTAGAAGTATGAAAATAAAAAACAAAAGATTTTCTTTTTGAATTAAATACAAAAAAAAACAACTTCTCTCTTACATAAGAACAGCTGCAATAACTACTTTTCCACTACCAGTGGTAAGAATATTTTTTTTAACCTAAATAAATAATAAACATAATTTGTTATCGAAGAATATTTTTTATTTGATTTACTGCTTTTCGATTATCAAATGATGCATTTTCTATTAATATTAAACGTTTTTGATATTCTTTAATGGCTTTTTTTAAACCAAACTTAGCTAGATGAAATAGAAAAAAATGATTTTTGAAAATATTTCAAGTATATAAAAAATAGTGTCGAAGGTATTTCAATACTATATAGAAACGTTCAGGAAACATTTTCTCTATATATGCTCATAATAAAATTGATGCTCTATATTTCATCATTGTTTAACTAATATAATAATAATAATAATAAAAGCTATCTACGCAATTCCAGACAAATTTCTTCATTATCTTTTTACTTAACTCTTCAGAAATTACAACTTTTTTTCTATAATGTTAGGTACCTAGCTCAAATCTAGATAGTGATTTTGATAGCCAATGGATTTTTCTCTATCGAAATTCTATAGATGAACGATAATGGTAAGATTTCTGAAAAACTGGACACGGTAGTTTTCAGGCCTTAGAAAAATAAAAGCATCACAAAAATTGTAAAATAAATAATACACGATGCCGCCCCGTCTTCATTTAGTATTTTTAATACTGAAAACTGCAATTATTGATCTCGAGTACGTTAAAAATTATTCAAAATAATTAAGTATTATCGTCATCTATAATAACTAACAGCTCTTATTAAAATTTTATTATTATGATACTAAATGGTATAGAAGTACCTTCGTTACTACTTTTGGTATGCTTTAATTGTTATTTTTTTTCTTTTCTAAATACATACCTTCATCTTCATCTCGTAGAGCTTTAGTTCGTTTAGCTTTTTCTTTATTTAAATTTTCTTGACTACCCCACACTTCATGAGCTCTAATAAATAAAAATAAAAATGAAATTATTTTAAATTTATTTATTTATTTATTTATTCATACCGTTTTTCGACATCACCTCGTCGATAAACTGTAAGCATACGTGAACTATCAGCAACATCTGTATAAGGTGAACGTGTTTTATATTTTTGAAGTGTTTCTAAATCTCTACATAAAAAAATATATATATATTAAAATATTTTTTCTATAGTTTGAGATTAACCCACGATGGACTTAATAAATATTCATGCATAGCTCGTACAGCTGTAATAAGTTTATTATCTGTATAACTTTCAGGAACATCATTTACTTGTGTATTACGTGGACGAGCTAAAAATAAACAGATGAGTTCTATTGATATTATATTTAGATTGAAACCTTTTAATACTGTTGTTATTGTAGATGGATTTTTTTCTGATGAAACTGATTGATTACTATTATTATTTGAAGGTGGTGTGAAGCTAGATTGTGTTCGTTTTGATAAACGATTTACATTTTGTCGTAATAATAAATCATATTGATAACGATAGAAAGAACTGCAAGCAAAAATAATAAAAACACAAACCGACTAGAATACATTTTAAGTAATATTAGCAAGTTCTCTGACCTCGATGAAAGGGTTCGAAGAATATTATGTTGAACATTATATGTAAATATTATACATGTACTTTTTAATGATCGATGAGCTATAGATAATAATAACGAAAAAATAAAATAAAATTAAGAATAGACCTACAAAAGGAATTAGTTTTATTCGAACACGTTGTAATACTAAACTGAATCAGATTATGAAAAAAAAACCAGTTTAATCATGTCATAATCTAGTTATTTATCGACAGAAATCTACTTGTGTATATACTTATTATACATAATCATGATCTCAATTAGTCACGCATCATAAATTAGTCTTATGAAAAACAAAAAAAGAAAAAAGACTTGGAAGAAATTCAAAAACATTTTGTTATATAGGACAGAACACAGAATTCAAAAATTTCATTCATAAAATTAATATTATATTTGTGTGAAAGACCAGCAGTGTTTAGTTAAAAGAAAACATGAAAGCAAATCTTGATTGTATATCATACTTTACATACTTCTTAATATTCAATTGTACCAAAATCATTATCTCAAATATTCGAATTTACTAATTAATAATCTTTTAATTTTAATCAACTCAAAATGACTAAATTTTAATTTTTTTTTTTTCTAAATCAATTGAAATTCATCTTACTATTTCTTAATATCGATTGTAAACCACATTGAACAAACATTATGTTCCTAGTATAATATTCATGAATAATATAATAATTATTTTCAAAAAATCATCTAAAAACAAAAGAAAAATGATTGAGCTTGAATAGTTCCTAATCAAAGAACATATATGTTTTGTTGAATTTTTCAAGCTTATTTTTGTTTGTTTGTTTGTTTTTTTCTTCTTAACAATTCCAAACACATACAGAGAGAGAGTGAATGTTGAAAAACAAAAAAAAAAAAGAAACGATTGTTCAAATACATTGAAACTAACAAAAACAAAAAGAAAAGAAAATCATCTTTATACCATCGACCGACTTTCACATAGTCTATCGACAACCTAAAAAACATAAAATAATATTTTTCGTTTGTATATCACGAAAAAAAAAACAAATTTTCAATACTAACTTGTCGAATACCCGGCAACAATAAAATTGAACCGATGATTGGCAAACGTCGAAGAAAATTAATTGCAATTGGAATGAAACCACTAAAACAATAAAAAAAACAAGATTTCATTTAACTTAATCAAACAAAAGAAAAAAGATATTAAACTAACCCAAACAGAAGAAAAAATCCATATATTTCAAAAATCATTCCAACCATTGGCCAACCAAATAAAACAATTCCAATACCACCAAAGAAAAGAAATGTAGCCTTAATTTTTGTACGTTGAAAGAAAAATCGAAATGTACGTTCAAATCCAATAATCATACTTAAACCAGCAAGAAATAAAATCTAATTAAATAAATATATTATGATAAAATAATATCAATTTATGATATCTTACATTTCCAACTGCAAGTAAACCTTTATCAAATAAAAAAATCATACCAAGAAAAATAAAACCAACACCAAATATTGACAGACCGAGACCGATCTCTATTAACATAGAAAAAAGTTTTATAAATATAAATAAATTTTATTTCGTTTGTACTCTGAAAATCTGACAATTGTATTGGCATTGTTAATTTAAAAGATATATATATATATTTATGCTATTAGATTATTTTGCGTATGAATATCCTAATGAAGTTGTAGAAGTGAACAATTTAAAATACATTCCTAAATGAATCAAATTGACACGTAAGCATTGAGTTGATGAGCTGTTATTGTATCTGACACACTTTTGGAATGGTTAAATCCATGGTTTATTATTCAGCTAACCAGTAGAAATGATCATCAATAGATGTCCCTTTTATATAAAGAATGCACGAGACCAAAACTAAGTCGATCCGAACAGTAGCAGATTTAGAAGGAGCGATCGTCGTTCAAAAGACTCTTGTCGATTTTTCCTATCACAAAACGTTTATAAGTTTTAAAGCACATTTTATGATCATGATCTCCTCCCATCATAAAAATCCTAGATTCGAACTACTTTTTCAAATTTTGTAATAGTGACAGATAATCGGCAAAAATAAAACGAACTTTGATTGATCATTTGACTTCCTTATAACCCAGCATTCCTTCACTTCATACTAATTGTGTTTATGACAATAGATCACTTCTACGCTACATAATTCTTTTATTTTCTTCACTTTTAAACTTTCGTATTACGATAAAGAATCTTCTATAATCTAGTGAGCTTATGTATTATCACTAAAAAGACAACCGAACCGAACTTGAACCAGTAAAATCCAGTTCGATCTCATGTCTGATTCTTAGCCAACTGTATCTATATGAGTTTCAAGTACTTAGGACAATGTTTTAAATGGAATATTATCAAATAATATTATCTTTTTTTAATAATAGTGATATAAATAGAAGAAAAATAACAACAAAAAACTTCTGAAGAATGATGAGAATAAAACATTAAATTCCATTTTTCTTGTAGATTTAAATTTTGTCAAGTTTACATGCTCATTACAATTGAAAAATCTGCCACCCTATGATAAACATTACTATGCTAAGATTATTTACTAAAGGCATATGTCAGATTGATTTTGTGTTAGAAAACTTGCTTATTTTCATTTGAGTTAAATATATTTGCAGAAAACAACCATATAATAAACACGCCTTGGTGAGACTATCAAAAATCTAAAAGATCTCATTCACATCAATCTTTAGAGCCAAATTAACATCGTTTTAATGACTTTTCAACTCAGCTTTACATATACATTGAAAACCTTTCATGTCGAAATTCTATAAGACGAAGCTAACTCTATTACAAAAAGACCCATCAATACAGTCGATGTGCTCTTCGCCGAAATTCATTAATATGCATTTCAATAGATTTCGTTTTCATGAAGTTCATATCGATGATCTGTATTTAACAAATTTCGAAGAATATGTTGCATTGAATAACCAAGCAATGATGATTGTTATATTTGTTGATTACAATTCAAAATGAATATTTCCACTCTTTTCAACTAATTTTTAATAGCTTTGAAATATTTATTTCTAATTATGATTAACATTCATTGATAAATACAACAAAGAAACAGAAAGAAAATATATAAGTACAAAAACGAGAATGTTTTTTTTTTATTTTTATTAACTGTTTATCATACTTCATGAAATAATTGTACAAATTCTTCAAAACTAATTTTTCCATCATGATCAATATCAATTTGATTTAAAGCATCAACAATTCGTTGTTCACTTATATTTTGATTTAATTGATGTAAAACTTGACGTAATTCATCAATTGTAATATAACCTAAAATAAATGAATAAAAATTTTGAACAAAAAAAAAAAGAAAAGAAGTTTGTTTTTTTTTTTACCAGACTGATCTGTATCGAAACATGTAAATGCTCGACGCATTTCATCTTCTGTAAATTTTCGTTCATAAATACTTCCCATTACTTTAACAAATTCCTCAAATTCAACTGTGTAGAAAATAAAAGTTTGTTTCTTTTGTTTAAAAAAAATAAAATAAAACTTACTCGTACCATTACCTAGAAAATATTAAGTTTACAACTTTTTTTTGTCTTTTTGCATTCGAAAATTACATACCATTACTGTCCATTTCTTTCATTACTTTTCGAAGTAAACTATCTGTTGGTTTAAAATTTAAAGCAATTAATATTTGTTTAATTTCAGATGATGATATAGTTCCACTTTTATCTCGATCAAAAAGATTGAATGCATCATGTAATTCTAATTTTTTAATTAAATTCAAAAACAAAAAATAAGTAACATAGATGTTACTTTTTTTTTTGTATTACCTTGTATTTGATGACTTGATAATTTTGTTTGTGTTCGCTGAAGAAAAAAAAAATTATTTTTTGTTTAATTAAAATTTTCAAATGTATACTCACCGACATTTAGATTTGCTCTTGTGCGTAAAGTTTCTTCAGGTGTATATATGTGTGTGTGTGTTTGATCTTTCTTTTTTTCTCTACTATTAGTCTGAGATTTTCTCTTTTCTTATTTATTATTCTTTCCTATTTTGCGTTCTTTTTTTTTATAGTAATATAAAAAAAAAACATAGCAGACAAGAAGACATAGAATGAACAAGAGTCTGAAATCGATGAAATAAATGTCAGAGAAAAGCAAAAAAAGAGATAGAGAAAAATATCTGTGAAATGTAACTCATTCTAACAAATATTTGATAGGAATTATTTATCTTTCTCTACCGACAAGTTGCTATGAGATTTATTAGATGATATGATATCATGATTTATTATTTTTTTGTTTATCTAAAATATGCAACGAAAAAAAAAACAATCGAAATTAATTGCAAAGTTGTTCTTGCTTAGTGATGCATTTTTCTTAATGAAATGATGGAGCTGAAGAAGAAAAAAACTTCTAGAGCAGTTTAATTTGCAATGAGTCTCTTCACAATGTTTTCGACAGTAATCTTGATCGATAAGATAACGTATATCATAATAAGATACAAGACTTGTATGACCAAGATTTTAAGTTAGGACGAATGTTCGCCAGTATCATCGTAAATTATAAAAGTTCTTCCTAATTATTATAATTTCTGTTTGTAAACAATTTATATTCTTCACAGAAATAGTCGTTTGTTAAAAATACATTACAAAAATCGAGTTTTAAGATATTCTATAGCTCATCAAATCTATATATGGACAAAATTTTACGTCGAAATTCTATTTTTCTTTTATGTATTTGAAATTGACTCGAAAACTCTGTAAAACGATCATAATAGGATTTCAAAGATTTACAGAGAGCAATCCTTTAACGGTTTTTCTTACCTAGCTAAAGCGTCCTTGTAAGCGCAATATGAGCTCAAACGATGGATAATGATCTCGTAACGAAACGAGTAGTCATAAAATGAGATTATTTATTTTATAGTCACGGTAAACTCTACAAGTAGAAGTGAATATGTAAGGATGACTCGTATTGGAAATTTCAATTATTATTATCATCCGTTTATAATTGAAGCATTTGATATTTATAGAAACACATGATAAAAAGCTTTGAACGTCGGTAGACTTGATTATAGTCACGGTTTTTATAATAATAAAAGTTTTAACTGAATCTATGTCGATTTTCATAATATAGGTATACTATTCTTTCGTTATTTGGTTTTTATCAATTGTTCTTTAGGTTTATGTAAGTAGAAAAAGTCGATGTTGATAAAATCAAATCTATCCTTGTGTTTCATAATATTAACTCATTTAGACATGTGCAAAGCGTTAAAGTGAAAGAAAGTACTAACTTTGTTTTTCATCAGATTTAATTGTCATTGAAAGTGTATGTCAAGTACACACTATTATGAGTATGTTAATAAATATAAGATCATATGTGATGAATAAAACTGACATTGCTGTATTTAAATAGTTGTTTTCTTTGTATTTATTATAAAAAAAAAAAGAAACAAAGGGGATATTATAAATGAATGCTATAATTATATTAATACAATTCTCTGCTGAAGTTTGAATGTTAAGCATAAATTACAACAAGAAGATGGTACTATAGGCTTAACTTTTACGAAAAATAATTTTTTTTTCAGCTTTTAGAATATCGTTAACTATATAGATTTAGTTCATCGTGTTTTAGTTGTTGAACATAAATCAATTTATCTTCTACCCTAAAGTTTTAATTGACTATTTTCATAGTGAAATAACAAATCAAGTTTTGAAGATGTGTCGTAATCTAATGCAAATATAAGATCACTTAGAGAAACTGTTGTAGATGAAGTAATTCTAACAAGAGCAGTTGATTCATTCAAACATTTCACCTTGCTATGAATAACCAATAATTGTCTAATAATAATCTAGTCTTATGACGGATGTTCCTCAAGTAATTAACCGCTTTTTAGTCGGCATGATATGCACCATATAGACTATAATGAGTTATGAATGCTTTAAAAAAAAGGTTCGCTCTCGTATTTTATTAGTGCGAAAATACTGCATTTTTGAAATAAGAGCTCTAGTACCCCTTAAGAACATCATGAAAACTTATTTTTGAATGTATTAGTTTTTCTGATGTTTCGAAGAAGACCATAGCATTCATTTTTAAAAAATATCATAAAAGTGCAGTCATTTTCACACCAATAAGCTAACGATTCGAGTTCTTTTTCAAAGTATTCATAGCTCATTAGGATATAAATGATATATATAACCTCGATTCGAAAGCAATTAATCAGTTGAATGACTTCCGTCGTCAGAGTTTTATCTTTTTAAATGATTAAATGCACTAACAAGGTTCACAATCTGTTACTTGATGCTTCATAAATGTTTCTTTACTAAAAGATCTTCAAAAACAACTGACATTTTCTATTTTAACAAAGGAAAGACATAACAAATTGATCTGTTTGTAATAATTTTCATGGATAAAACTTGAATATCCGATCAACTAGAGTTTAATATCCAATTTATTTATCAATTCATAACCTGGAGAAAAGAATGTTGCATATTGCAGCTCATATATTATTAACAGTGAGCTATCAACTCTTTCACATTGAGAGAGTTTATTTTTCAAAAAACAACTATTCTTTGTGTTGAAAGACGCCATATTGTCATATATCTAGCGACATCTATTGAAACTCTAAATAAAATATATTGATAGTTATTTTTGAAGATCTTGAACTAAATTTAAAATATTGTCATTCTTATATTCAATAAGAACATACATAATGAGAATAAAAAAAATTTTATGAACAGTTGCAATGATACTAATTAGAAACGAATAAAAATATGGCTGATTCATGATGATCTCACACAAATTCTGTTCAATTTTCACAGAAGGATTATAAAAATGGATCAATTTAAAAAACTCTATCATGAATATTGTAAAACTTATCATGTTGAACCTAATGAATTACTTTTAGGTGAAATTCAAAAGTATAAAAATAATTTTTCTATACAAAAAACAATAGTTTTTAAAAAAAATTTATTTTTCGATTGTCGTTTTTAAAGAGTTTCTGGTGAAGATAATAAAACAAAAAGTTTAAATTTATCATCATTCAATATTTCCGAAGCACAATGTACTATATTAGGAAAAATACTTACACATGATTTTATATTTACTAGTATTCATCTTAATGATTGTAATTTATCAAGTGATGGTAAATTATTAATTTATTTGAAATACTTTTTGTTTTTTCATTGATTTCTTTTTTTTCTTTTTTACAAGCTTTACAGGCTCTTCTACATGGACTTACAACTAATACAGCATGTAAAGCATTAGAATTAAAGGTAGATAATTTATCATAATATTTATATGAATTTATTTTGTCAAAATAAAGGGAAATGGTATTCAAGGAGCTGGAACTGAAGCATTAGCTAAAGTATTAAGAAAAAATCAAACACTTCGAAAGTAAGTGTAGAACAAGATTTTGTTGATTTTGAAAACTAGTGAACGTATATTTAAATGAAACATGAAAAAGAAACATACCCCTGTGACAGTGTTTATTGGGAGATACTTTACAGATTCTGTTTTTTTTTTATTATATCTAGAATAATTATTTCTATTATAAACAAATTTCTTGAAAAATCGATAATTTAAATTTTTCATATGATCTTCTTTTAGTTTACGATTAGAATGGAATCAACTAGGTTCAATGAATACTCCAGCATTTAGTATTTTTTGTGATGCACTTGCAGATAATAAATCATTAATTGATCTTGATTTACGTAATAATGATATAAATCATGTTGGTGGTTCAGAATTAGCATCAGCTCTAAAACGAAATACAACATTACGTGCATTAGGTGTGTATTCAATACTAAATGATGAACGAAAATTTTTTTTTTTATTCTAATAAACATGAATAGATCTTCGTTGGAATAATGTTGGACTCATTGGTGGTCGAGCTCTATTAGTTTTATGTCAATCAAATTCAACTTTAAATGAATTACAATTAATTGGTAATAATATTCCTGATGATATTATGCAGAGTATTGGTATGTTTCCTTTTTTTTTTCATATTTCTTATAGGTCAAAGAATTTGTTTTATTTTTTTAATATTAGCTAATGCATTATCAAAAAATACTGAACAACATCAAATACATTTTGGACATTCACAAAATATGGCTATACTTTCAAGACAATTACAAAATGTTCATGAAGAAAAAGATCGTCAAATAACAACAACATTAACACGTATGTCACTTCAAGAACAAGCAATGCTTAAAGCAAATAAATCATTAGCTGAAAAATTAAAAAAATTACAAGATGCATTAGATGAACGAAAATTATCATTTAATGCATTATCATCAAAAAATACTTTACTTGAAGCAGATTTAACTGTAGCTAAACAACAATATGATGATATACAAAATGTTATTAAAAAAATGGAAATTGATAAACAAGAATTAATATATAAAATTCGAAGAGAATGTAAACAAGAAAAAGATGTAATATATATCATTAGAATATCTTCAATGATAAAGTTTATTTTATTTAATTTTTTTTTTTTTTGTAGGAACTAATTGATATTCAAGAAAAACTTCAACGAGATTTAAATGCAAGTCTAGAAATTCAACGACGTTTAAATGAAAAAATTCAAGATCTTGAACGAAAAAATGATAAACTTCAAACAACAGTTCATGAACTTGGAGAAACTGTATGTTATTTATCTATTCTTCTTTTTTTTTTCTTCAAAGAGAAATAATAAGAAAAAAAAAAACGTCTCTTTATAGATAACCATCAATGAACGTGACTATCAAATAAAATTAACTGCATTAGATGATGAAAATCAACGATTAAAATTAAAACAGAAAGAAGATTTAAAAGATCGTGAATTAATAACAAATCGAGATATACAACGTTTAAAAGAAGCTCATTCATCAACAGAACAAACATTAAAAGAACAACTAACTAAACTTGAAAATATTCGTACATCACTCGAACGAGTATATATATATATTTGTATTTTATCATTTCATTATATTTATTTTATTTTAAGGAAATCAATTCACTTAAATCTAATTTGTCAACACAAAAATTAGCTCATGATGAAACACTTCAAGAAGAAAAAATTCGAATTAAAAATAACGAAGAAAAAAAACAACAAGAACTTGAAGATCGGATACATACATTAACTACTTCAAAAGACGAACTTGAAGTAATAATCATTTCTTTTTTTATTATTATAATCGTTAATGTTTCCATGCAAAAGAGATTTCCTAGAAACTTTTCAAAAACGATCGCGACAGAGTTTCATTCTAATATACATTATCTATTCATTGATTTCAATCATAAATACCGAAAATAGACTCAAGTCCGTTTACGGATAATTTATTATGGTCATATCATAATGAGATTACAGTTTCATATACAGTAGTATTTGATGAAAATACGATATTGTATATGATGCCGTATTACTGTCCGTAGCATTCAGAGAAAACATGATCTGTTTACTTGTCTTACTGACGACGGAACGTTTTCAACTGTTCAATCGCTTTTGAGTTCAGACTCTGTGCATAAAGTAGGCCCCATTGGGGTATAAAAAAATCAAAAAAAAAGTGCCTTTAGACCTTCTGCCCAGAGCTATAGACATTTTACTGGAATTTTAGGCTATGGCATGGTATATATCAAAAAATCGAATGGTAGTATTTCGAGCTGAGATTTTGCCTACAGACAGGCCTATTGATGGTTAGAATGAGCTGAAAATTTCAGCTCAAAAGAACATTTCCTTTCCGAGATATTAGAGTCTCAAAAAACAGAATATTTTAGTATCGTTCAAAGGATATCAGTGATTCTTGGAATTCCAATATCTTGAGAAGAAAATATTTTTTCGAACTGAAACTTTCAAGACATTTTGCTCAACAATAGGCCTGTCTGTGGATTAAATCTCAGCTCGAAATACCGCCATTCGATTTTTTTGGTATATACCATGTCATAGGCTAAAATTGTAGTAACATGCCTATAACTCTGGACAGAAGGCCTAAGAGCACGTATCCTTTTGGGATTTTTTATATCTCAATGAAGTCTACTTTATGCACAGAGCCTGAACTCAGAAGCAATTGGACAATTGGAAATGTTCCCTCGTGAGATGTAAACGACCGTATACGGCATCATGTGTTATCGTATTCATATCAGAGATGTCCATCGCGGCGCTGCCGCGCCGCTGCCGCTGCCGCTGCCGCTGCCGCGGTGGCGGTGGCGGCGCGGCAGCGGCAGGTTTTTAAAAAAAATCACCGCGGCAGCGGCGCGGTAGCGGCAGATTTTTTTAAAAGTCATCGCGGCAGCGGCGCGGTAGCGGCAGGTTTTTTAAAAAACCATCGCGGCAGCGGCGCGGTAGCGGCAGGAGTTTTTTGGAGGACATTGAAAAACTGTATGAATTTAATAGAATTTCAGGATTTACAAATGAAACGCCCTGATATTGAATAAATCTGATGGACTAGTACCCATATCTCTGGTCAAATATAGTCACAGCAGTGAAATTAGAAACACTTTTTTGAAAATCGTCGCGGCAGCGGCGCGGTGGCGGCACGTTTATTTTATAATTCATCGCGGCAGCGGCGCGGCAGCGTTTCTTTTATAAGTCATCGCGGTGCGGCAGCGTCGCGGCAACATTTTTTTATAAACCGCCGCGGCGCGGCAGCGGTGCGGCAGCTTTTTTTTTCTAAGGCCGCGGCGCGGCAGCGGCAGATTTTCAGCCGCGATGGACATCTCTGATTCATATACTCTTCTGATTCAAGAGAAAGGGAATTTCTCTCCTAGTGTTTTAAACTGGAACTTTTATTTTATTTATTTTAAATTACCTACTATTTCATCTGTTGTTCGAATCGATTTGAATAAAAATAATATAGTTTAATTTAATTGTAAAATTTCAGTATCCATATAGAAACGGTTAACTGTATAATAAATATGTTTTGTTCTTCATAGTCTCGTTATAATCAACAATTAATTGCTTATCGAGAACTTCAACAGAAACTAAATTTTCAATCAGTTGAAATTGAATCATTTAAACGACAAATTGAATCAATACAAATGGTAAAATTTATGTCTCTTTTTCATGTTGGAATAAATTTTTCTTATTTTCTAGACAATTCATGATAAAGATACAGAAATTCTTGAAACTCGTGAAAAAACTAAAACAGATTATGAAAAAAAATTACGTTCAATTCAAAAAGATATTGATATGAATGATGAATTAAAAGATCGTATTAAACAATTAGAAAATGAATTAAAAGGTAATATGATTAAAAAAAAACAATTTTTTTTTCGAATATTTTATTAATCATAGATCAACGTTTTAATGATCGAAATACAATTCGTGAACTTGAAAGTCGTGTAGCTGAATTACAAACAACATTAAAGCACCGTGATCAAGAAATAAGTCGTTTAAAACTTGATGAAGAACAAAGATTACATTTTCTACGTTCTGCTATTATTGATTATATTGGTACAGGAGCCAACACATAATCTATGTCTTTTTAAGTTTTATTTTAAATATACATTTTGTATAATGTACGGATAGATAATTTTTTTTAAAATAAATGGAACGTTTATATATGTGCATATTCAGGGAGCATTAAAAATTGTCTTTTAATCAAGTTGCGGAACTATTTGATATACCATTGTTTATATAATATCTCATTGAATATATTGTTAGACGAATGACAAATTTATTAAAAATAGAAAGAGGATACAGTTCCTTTCTTTGTCTGTCGCCAATGTAATCACAAGACCACCTACTGATTGAGAAGTGCTGAGCAACGAGTTTCTTGTTTCTTTTTCTTATGCTATTCGTTTAACAGATGAAAACAAAGAACACATACGATATTATTAAATATGTCAATGTCAAGTAAATCTTGTGAAAACCGTAATTATAGTTATCACTATTCTTGATCTAATTACAACTAATATCAAGTTTTATCCATCTACGTATATTTCATAACCTGAAACAACAACACTTCTGTTATATATTTTTTTCTAAATGAACAAAATCAAATATGTATTATCCAACTGTTGTTCAACCAACATCTGCCGAAACATGGCCAAACGCCTATCAAATCAATACTCAACAACAACAAGCTATACCTGCTGTATATTATCAAGTACCTGAAGCTATTGTTGCACAACAACCAGTACCTACTGTATATTATCAAACACCTTCAGTCACTGTTCCACCTATTCCGACTACAACAACTTCTCAAACCAATATTCAACAACAACCACAGACCACATCGATAACAACAACAAAAACAACTCGAATTCTTGATCCAACAACTTTACCAACAATACATCAAAATTCTGTTACCAAAGAAATAAAAACTACAACAACTGCTACTAAACCAGAAATATCAACAACACAAACAATCGTTACTTCAACAGCTACAAATGGTCCTCTAGTAACAAGGACAACAGTTGCACCAACCGTTGAAACAACGATAATTCAAGAAAGACCACAAAATCAACCTCGTCGTTTAAGAAGTCTTTCAACATCGACATATTCAGGTAGTACAACAACTTCTACACATTCTACAATTACTCCACAACCTGAAATTATCAAACAATCAGTTGTTCTCCCACCACCACCACCAGTACCTATACAAACAACAACTATAGCACCTGTACGTCGTGTAATACATCATGCACATCATCATCGACAACGTACACCTAGTAGTTATTATTCATCTGATCTTGATTATGGAAAACAAAAAGTTTATAAAACAGATTATAAATATCGTCATTATTATTGTTGTAATGTATGTAAAGGTCGTTGTGATTTACGTAATCGTTCATATGGTTGTTGTGAATGGTTTTATGGTTGTCCTGTATGGGCATTAATTTTATGTGGATTATTTTTTCTTGCTTTACTTATAACGTTTCTTACATTATTTGGTTTACAACCATCAATTAATTCAACACGTCGTGCTGAAACAGCTGAAACACGTTTATTAAATCGTACACAAATTATATATGGATTTTATAAAAATTGTGGTTATCAAATAAATGCAACATCAAATACACCAACGACACTTATTTTATGTACAAATACAGCAACAACAACAACTGCACGTATAGAATTATCATCATTCTATACAGTAATAAGTGAAACAAATTATTATACTTATAGTAAAATATTAACTTTGATTTTGTTATTTATTTGCTTTGAAAACTTGAAATTTTAATATTAACGTTTTAAATAAATTGTTCTCGAGTAAAAATGTTCAAATAGAATAATGAAATCGAACTGATCATTATTTACAATAATCGTTCTAAGTGAATGTTGATACCAGTCATTGTTATAGTCTACATATTCATATCAATATCATATATAATTTTTTTAATTGAAATTTTTAAAGACCAGATTACTATATACCAAGCCACTTTAAATATATTTCTTTTACAAAAATGGATTCTACACAATAGCGCTCCACAATCACCACAGTTATTTTAAGAGTTCATTATCAAAGTGATCAGAAGTTGAATGAGGTCAGACAATTTTCAATGCTTAATAAATACAGCATAAAAGATATTCATAGTACTTAATGCAGTTGATAGTTCACTCGATTTTCTGTGACAATAAAGAATGTTATCGAATTGAATAAATGTGATGTTTTTATTTATTACCTAAATAAAACTTTCAAACCGTTCGCCTACAAGAAAACATATTCAGCTGGCTGCTTCCACTTGTAATGATTTCTTCCCTATAGATACTACATAGTTTTCTAATTAAAATCTTAAAAAATTGGACTTTCTATCAAGACTTGACTAAGTTATCGAATTTTTAAAATGTCTTTTTTTTTTAAAAATTGCAAGTTGTTGAAAAATTCAAATTCTCAAATTTTGATTTATAACTCTATAAATATAGAGAACTGAAGTAGGCTAGTTTTCAACAAAGTTTCTGCATTGTTTTATAGACTTGAGTAGAAAAGATTTTCTCCTTAGTTAAGTTTCCTGACTGTTATCAATTGCGAAATATCTAACCCACAGAACAAATATTGATGAAAAATCCGATTCAAATAGTATCCGCTTAATCGATTTTTATTGAATTTATCGGCAGTTTTTCTTACATGAGTAAACTCAAGAGTTTGAAAAAACAACTCAACAATTTGAGTTTCTAATTTAAATTAGTAAATCCTACTTTGGTCGAAAGATAAATATGCCGACTTATTTAAAGATTGAAATTATACAAATTATTATTTAGTTAAGCCACAGCAACATAACGCTATATGTATAGTGATAACAAGCGTTCAAAAATTCTCAATGAAAATTCCCATAGACGATGAACATAGAAACGATAATCCATACAATAACATGAAAGGAAACGACCACAGAAAGGAACCTTAATGAAAAAAATTAACTTGAATCGTGCATATGTTTCATATCTTTTATTTTTGTGTATATAAATAAGTGAGATTAACAAGAACACACTCATACCCTTACCCTTGCTACACTTTATCAATTAGCTGATAATGTCATTTTATAAGTTAATCGACTGTTCATGTTTGTATTATCCACGTTGTAAATTACAAGCATCAGAAATATCAAATGAGCATGTATTTCGATATCGGTTAAGTAAATCCTTAAAATTTGAGATAACTTCGGTTTATAATCATCACTATTTCAATCAACTAAAAGATAAATAATTTAATTTCTAATCCATATTTCTCTTACGCAGGAATCCTTTTTTTTGAAAAACAAGTAAAAAAAGTTCGAGTATGGAGATTTGTTCTTTACAGAAGACAATTTTTCGACTCCCGGTAGAAAAAAGTCTAGATGAATGAAAACATTTTATCATTGATAGAACCACATTGTATCTAAGGTTAATAAATATACAGAAAAGCATCGTTTCTTTATTCTTGTGTTCCTAAATATTTTGTGATTCTAATCCTCGTCTAATAAAATTTTCTATAAAAAAAATTCTGATTCTTCTATCTGTCATTTTTTGAAAAACTTACTCCTTTTTATATAAATTTGCGAGGAGCTGTGAATTTAAAAACTAAATTTCATTTGTTCATGCTCACAATATTGATACTAGAGATGCAACGGTGACGGTGGTCACCGGTGTGATCGGTCTACGGTTCACCGTTCACCGGTCTCACCGGACCGCCGGTTCACCGTAGGACCGGTGCACCGTACCAACCGGTGCCACCGGTCTACCGGTCACCGCAGTAGCGGTGCACCGTTCCACCGGTATACGAGCACCGTAAGCATCGGTCACAATGTACTGCAGATATAGCTACTCAAGTTCAACTGTGTCTTATTAAAAATGAAGCTGACCATCTCATAATCGAGAAGTGCACATATATTTGATATCCCTCTACTTTCTGTGATTTATGATCATGCTTCACAAATTTAATAAAATGTTTCTATACACTGACCGCTCCTTCAGTACGATGCTGACCGTAGGCGTACGTCAGACAACATCAAGATACTCATTTAGCTGATATTTGTTAGTGCGAGACTATCTGGGTATGAAAGATGTTTATACAAAAAAATTAGGTATGCCGCTTCAAGAAACACCTTTAAGGTCAACAATAGCTGATAGAATGTCGCGAACCTACGGTGATCGCCGGTTTATAACATTCTACCGACTCATCAAAACTTAGGATAACCAGCAGTACGCTTTTAATGTTCATCACCGAAGGTTTTCTTGGCCCTATCGATCGCATAACCGGCATGATTATCACATTCATCGATGAAGAAAATTTTCATTTACCATAGTGAGCAGATCTAAATTACATGTTTTTTCGCATTACCATCAATCCTAATCATGTTGGTTCGGAGAGCGGAGATCTACAGTGGCAGACAGCTTCTAGTATTTCACAGACTCGTTGAAGGCCAGAGCAACTAATAATGGCAATCTAGTCATCATCACCGTATGATTTCGTGAATCTATCAGTCGTATAACTAGCTTCGTAGACAGTCTCCGGAAAAACTTTTCACATGCTGTTTCGTCGTGTACTCAAATATATAGTTTTGTACATCATGATGAAAGTTAAAAATGCTGTTTAGAGAGTGGGAACCTACGGCGATGACCTGTTTGCAGCATTTGACAAGCTCATTGATGCTCAGGGTAGTCAGTAATACCCTTACAACCATCATCACCGTAGGTTCCTGTGACAATGTCGGTCCTAAAACTGGCATCGTTATCATGCTGATTTAGGAAAAAAACTTTCATATACAATAATACATCGCTATAAATTATATACTTTTAAGCGTCACCATGTAGTCTCATAACGCCAGTTACTAGAACGGAGACCTACGGTGATGGACGGTTTCTAGCATTTACAGATTCATCGAGACTCAGAGTAACCAGCAGTATCCATCTAGTCACCATCACCGTAGGTTTTCGTCACCCTATTGATTCTATTATTAGCTTTATAGCCATGCACATCTTGGGAAAGATTTTTCATCATCAGTCTTGTCGTACACTCAGCTGGCTCTGTAAGTTCGCCTGTCCGGAATTTCGC